GGTTTAGGGTTTAGGGTTTCCTGCTGTGTGAGGCCGGCTTCCAGAAAGGCGAGTCCTGACGTAGGGTCTAGGCACTGCGGTTCTGCAACGCTCGGATCTTCTGGTGATCGGAGGTTCATTCACAGCCACCTGCGACTAAAACTGCTACTCGGCTAGAGAACCGTCATGCCATGGTTCGGACTGCAACGATTCCGTTGAGGATTGCCGACACCTTCCTGTCGCACCCTTCGCCCTAATCATGACTTCGCGGCTGTGCTAAACCAAGGCAGCTCGTCCATTCCTACAGCCCGATGATGCTTTGGAAGCTCCTCAGGCTTTGCACCGAGTCAGGGGGCAAAAATAGCTTTGGGCCCTGCGTGTGGCAACAGGTGCAGAAGATCCTCCATCTATCCTAACTGCCGCAAGGACTGGCGTCAAGGACTTGCCGACCTCACCGTGTCTGCATCTGCCGTCCCCTCAAGCTCCAGTGTGCCTTTCCGCCCTTGCCTCCGGAAGATGCTACTAGGGAGTTTCCGACAATTAGGGTACCTTATGTTAGGGGTCCTTATAATAAGAATCCTCTTATTTAGGGTACTATAGTAGGGTCCCCTATTTTTGGAAACCCCCACTATAGGAGCCCGGAAGTGCCGGCTGCACCGATAGGTCCACCGCAGTCCGCGCCACGCCACAAGCTGCAACTACTTCAGTTTCACCCCGGATTTGCAAAGTCTTTCTGGCTCAGCCACTTGGCCTTCTAGCAGCAGTCGGACTCTGCAAGGCCAGGCTGCTAGGCGGGAGGAGCAGACCAGTATCCCCTCTCACAGCTGGGAGGTGTGAGGGTGTACGAAGTTTAGAGTTGAGGGTTTGGGGTTGAGGGTTTTAGGGTTTGGGGTAGCAGGAGACATCCGAGCTGGTGAGCGAGTGGCAGGCAACTAGCGAAGCGGGCCACCTGTGGCAAGAATGGCCTCTCCTTCTCTGAAGCATGCGGCTCTTCAACAGCCAGCTTGTTTCCTAACTAACTCAGGATCTTACACCCCTAGGAAGTTTAAGCCCGAAACCGACATCACGCGGTGCTCCCTTGACGTGACGACGACAACCAAAGCGCTGATGGAAGCTGGCGCATCCTTTCCAGAAGCTGCAGGAGCTGTTGACATGAGGCACCCTCATGCTTCAACCGAGGTGCACAGACGAGCTGATGCCGCTTTGCATGGTTTTACATCCTGGCCCAGCGTCGCCGAGAATATGAAAATACTATGTGTTGAATCTTGCTCTTCCGGGCCTAATGCACTTCAGACTAGTTGCACCTGCCGCAGCTCACGTCTTTCATCGATGTCTCAACGTTCCACCGTCAGATGCATTCACAAACAGAATCCCTGTCACCACCCATCGGGACCTGCACCAAGTGGCCACTCATGGACTCAACTCGAAAGTAGCACCTTTGGCCACCCAGTCACCTAGCGCGAGAGTGAGCTCCTGAGCACAGACCAAGCAAACCAGCGACGAGCACTGCGCGAAAGACGTGTTTCAACCGCGGCTGATGGCAGTGCGGCCTCGAGCCATCAGCGAAACTTCTCCACCGACCCAGTTTTGCCAAAAGCGGGCACCCCAGGCCCGAATTCTACATCCTAAGTCCCGAAGTTCCGAAGCTCCAAACCCTGAACCCAAGCGCGTCGCCCGAGCTTCGCAGCAACTTGAGGGAAACCCCCCCGCCGGTGGAGAAGGCCCGAATCCCGGTGCGGAAGGACAGAACCCGCCTCCCACAGGTCGGAGGCAAATGGGTTCAGCTCTGGTTCAGCTCTGAGCGTCTTTAGCGCTTAGGGGTCTATAATAAGGAACCCCCAAAATAGTATAGGTAATTATTTAGGCCCCTATATACCTCGACCTTTGAGGGCAAGGGATGGGTATACAAAAGCTTCTGCTCCTTGAGCTGAAGCGTGGACGGCAGGGAGCATGCGACGCACGACCTTGACCAGTCGTATTTGTCGGCTCCCTTAATGGGCCCCAAAACGCTATTCTAACTATTAAGGCCGCTATGTTGGAGGTGCGCGCCCGAAATGCCGGCCGCGAGTCTCACTCCGAAAGTTGAATCACTGAGGCCGAGCTGGACATCTGCCGGACGGCTGGACCACAGGCCTGAGGCTAATGTGGGGGCCTAAGTCAGTGGTTTAGGGTTTAGGGTTTAGGGTTTAGGGTTTAGGGTTTAGGGTCAGTACCACTACTATTTTGGGGGTTCCTTATTGTATTTTATAGGATAGTGGGTGCCAAAACTACCCTATGCTAATTATTAAGGCCCTTATACCTTATGTTAGAAGAGGGAAGGGAACGGTTCAGTGCAAAGGACGTAGGGATTCCACGCATGCTAAGTTGCAAACCAAGCTTCCACTGTCCACTAGACACAAGCCGAACATCCATGCAGGCCTACGATTAGAAGGACCTACGACAATGCTCACAGGCTGCAGATGATCTGCTTGCAGCGGCAACTACGAAGATAAGGACCTTAATAATGGGGCACTGGCCCAATTTACCGCGTACATACACCATATAGCGATTATTGGCGACGTCTTACTTCTTAATGTTGTGAATTTGTAATATCACAAATAAGAACAACAGCAAAAAATAACAGTAGCAATAGTAGCCGTCGTCGTCGTGGTATTACTATATCTGACTCTGAGTACTGATCTTCTCCTCGCTTGTCCTACCAACGTTTAAGCTTGCAGGCAATGCAGAAAGGACTCTAAGCCCTCAAAACCGAAACTCTGAACCCTAAACCCGCAACCCCAAACTCTCAACCCTCAACCCTAAAACCCTAAACCCTCAAACCCTAAACCCTAAACCCTCAACCCTACATACCCTACTGTACATACCCTAAACGCCCTTCGAGCAGAACGGGGGGGCGCGAGGCCTCAGGGTCCCGGAGCGGCCGAAGAGTTGCCGACCGCAGATCTCGAAGCAAAGAGACGAAGACCTGCGAGGCTTCGAGGGGATCCCTTTATAGAACCCTATAGCACCATAAACCCTAAACCCTAAACCCTAAACTCTAAACCCTAAACCCTAAACCCTAAACTCTAAACCCTAAACCCTAAACCCTAAACCCTGAACCCTATAGCACCCCCCCTTTAAGGAGATCCTCTAGGGGTGGGGGTGGGGGGGTTTTGGGAAAGTTTCGGAGGGTTTGAGGTTGAAGGTTGAGGGTTTAGGGTATGTAGGGTATACAGGGTTTAGGGCTTGGGGCTGAGGGCGTAGGAGGTATTTGCTTCAGAGGTTTAGGGCTTTGGGGGTTGGGGTTTCGGGTTCAGAGAGTTTCGGAGGATTTTGGGTTTAGGGTTTACGGAGTTTAAGGGTTTCAAGTTCAGTTTCTGGGTTTAGGGGTTTAGGATTCAGGGCTTAGGGGTTTAGGGGTTTGGAGGTTTAGGGTTTCGTGCTAGGGTCAGGGTTTAGGGAGGGCTGCATGGTGTTTATGAGGTGTGGTTGGCTTTCGTGGTTTCAACTGGTCTATGACCCTAAACCCTAAACCCTAAACCCTAAACCCTAAACCTCACAGATTCGAAAGCACTGGGCTTAGGATTTAGGTGGGGCTTCAGGCTCGGAAGACGGCCACTGAACTTTCAGACGGGAAGGGTTTAGGGTTTAGGGTTTAGGGTTTAGGGTTTAGGGTTGAGGGTTTAGGGTTTAGGGTTTAGGGTTTAGGGTTTATATAGGGTTTGTGGTTTGGGGTTTAAGGGTTTCAAATCCGAGAGCTGGGATTAGAGACGGTTTGGGGTTAAGGGCTGCGGGTGCCTTCCGAAGTCTTTTTGCAGGCGTCTCGTGCGCCCGCGCCGAAGCGCTCTAAAAGCAGGCTTTCATGTAGGAACCTTGGTTCAGAAACCCCCACTTCTTATTGGGGTTCTTAAGGTTCGTAGTAAAAATCTGGATCGTATTTGCATTAATTCTTATCAGGGTGCATACTCACACCTATGGGGGTTTCCGAAAATAGGGGACCCTAATATAGTACCCTAAATAATAGGATCCTTATTATAAGGACCCCAAAATAAGGTACCCTTATTTTTGGAAACTCCCATATGGATCCGGCGACCTGGAACGGGGCATCTTGATCGAGTTCCCACATTTGGAGCGGTGAGACTCAGCGGCTGGTCAGCTTGAGCCCCGGTCGCGGCAGCTGACATTTTTCAAACGGGAGTGGCTGCAGCGGCACGCTCCGATCTCGGGTTCAGGGTTTAGGGTTGAGGATTTGAGGATTTCAGCGTTTAGGGTTCGTGATTGAGGAAAAACAAGTAACAGCTTCCGTCGACAGTGGTGTTCTGTTGGTTTTCCACCTTTGGATCCCGACAAACATGTGTTTCGATGTCGGGCTTTCGCTATCTGCAGGGCACCTCTATCAGAGCATACTCCCGCAGCCCTCACCATAATAGTAATAACATTAATAGTAATCAGACAAATACAAAAATAGTGACAATAATAACCATACCAAGACGAATACTAAGAATCATACACTAGTAGCTTCATTGAAAACTGATGCACGCTCGCCTGCCGTCATCGGCGGCATGGGTTGGCAAGATCGCAGTTTAGAACACTGAGGCCACTGATGTGAGTGTCGAGGTAAGCTGGCACATCAATCATCCCGTACTTGGCATCACAGCAGTTGGAGGTCCAGTAACAACCCAGAGCCCCTTGGACGGTCTCACAAAGCTTATATGGTGAGTTCACCGACATAGCCACCTGCACCTGGCAGGAGGTAAGCTCCTGGTAGCCGCAGACTGCTTCTCCGGGAAGCGGGCTGGTGATGGCAGGAGTTCCACCCTCATCGCTGCTACCGCCAGTGCTGGTGCTGGTCGTAGTAGCGGTGCACCAGGCAAGCTCCCAGGCCGTGAGTTCAACAGATTCCATGATCTGCACGAAAGGGAAAGGCTGCCAGAAGACGTAGATCTTTCCCCAACTTCCCAAAGCGAGGTTGGCGAGACTGCCCATGAGCTCCAGATCCACCTCCGCTTCTTGCTCCGTCCCCGCGATCTGCAGGGCCTGAACTGGCATCGACGGGGTTTCAGGGTTGAGGGTTTAGGGTTTAGGGTTTAGGGTTTTAGGGTTTAGGGTTCTAGGGTTTAGGGTTTAGGGTTTAGGTTTCCATACAAAACCCTAAGAAAACAGGCAACCGAACCCGCAATGGAGGCAAAACTCCGTGATTAGCACACGAAGTCCGAAGTCCTCAGAGTCCAGCAACCACCGGTACTCCTCGTTCTCCTGGGCCCGCGAAGGTACAGCTTGAGCTGAGCAACCTTCCTGCACAAGCTGGAGATGAGGCAGGCTCAGGACCGGAACGGGAGTCGCATCCCACTTGTAGAGGTCAATGGCCTTGATGTAGCTACAAAGCTTGGATAAGACCCACGCAACGGCATCGCTGCATTCCAGGGTCACCCCAAGCCCGAAGGTCAAAGACACACCGAGGGCTTCCACATGGGCGCCTTCCAGGGGCGCCTTCTCCCGGAGGAAGCGGTTCTCCGTGTCGTAGGCCACGGTCATACCCAAAGACATGCCTGGGCTTAGAGCAAACTTGAAGCCCACCAAGCCGCTGAGCTGCGCGAGGAGGCTGAAGCTTACCTTCACACTGGTCTCCACCGTACCTTTGACCTGGGGAGGCACCATCATGTATCAACAGATGGTTTCAGATGACACGCCTTAGCTCAATAATACCTCTTGGCGCATGCCTGCCTCTTCAAGAAATTCACGTTTTTGTTGCAAGCCTGAGTCTTCGTGTCTGGTGTCCCATTCGCCATCCCGAAAGCTCACATGCACGGTCTGCGTCTGCCAGAAATGCCCCCGATATTGCATATTGAGGTCCTGAACTTGAAAAATGGCTCCCCCTTTCTTGGGATTAGAGTAGGGATCCGCAGACAAGAGCTCTTAAAGGGTGCTATAAGTCAGAGGTCTACGCTCTTGAGGTCCTGGGACACTGAGACGTCAGCCTCGAAGTCCATGCTGGCCACCAGGCGAAGAAATACGGCCGGCGGGTAGATGAACCATGGACCGAAGCTTTTGTTGGCAATCGGAAGGCCCAACAACTTGTAACCGATCTTGCTCATACCTGGGCTGTTCTCAGAGGCCCTCTGAGTCTACAACTGTGGTTTCTGTTTTAGGGTTTAGGGTTTAGGGTTTAGGGTCTAGGAGTCTAGGGTTTAGGGATCTGTTGTTGTCCTCAGTTATGCTTCATAAGAGCCTGGATGCCTGCGTACTTGACATCGACCCCCAGTGACCACGCAAGACCGGCTGTGACTTCCAGCGAGTTGACACCCGTCCAGTCTATATCCACGGCAAAGTGCCACCCGGGAAATTGTACCTCAAAAGATGGATCGATAGCAATGCTTTGAGCAAACTCCATCTGCACCTTTTCTGTGACCTGCACACCACCTTTCACCGCCAAGCGCCGGCTACCTGCATCCCTGTCGCCTCCTGTAAAATCCATAGTCGCATCCAGCTGCAGGGTTTGAAAAACCTCCGTGAGGGCAGCATCATGTGTCGTCGCCACGAGAGTGTTTCCCAAGCTTGAGACATCATCTACAAAGGCAAGGAACGCGGTGCCCTCGCTGTCCGTGCCTGTCAAACACATGCCTGTGACCACAAGGGGTGGCTCAATGCCGGTGGCGATGATGGAAATGTTAGTGCGCATCGCCTTGATATGCAAACTGCTGTTCGCTGTGATTGACAACATGGTAACGTTCTCTGCCAGCTCAGGGCTCTTTGCCGCGATCGCGACCTTTGTCACGCGCCTGTTGTCAGACACTTCGCCTTGGGGCCCCTTCGCTAAGACCAGCAGCGAAACCACGGATCTCGGCTTCAGGCCTCCAAGGACAGCCTCCAGTGTGTCCCCTAAGGACAGGACTGAAGCGTTCAGGATGTCGGAAGTCTGAGAAACCAAGCCCTGCACATCAGACTCTGACAGGTTGAGCTCGCCATCACCGTAAAGGAGGAAATACTCGATGCCATCTTGATTGCCTTGTTGGTAAACCTCGGCAGGAAGCCACGCAATGTCCACCTCCCCTTCCCGGAATGAGATCGCTGAGGAAATGCCTGCGAAGCTCAAACCAGGAGTCGTCGTTGATGTTGTTGATGCGGTTGTGTACGCAGGTGGTGTGCTATCGACGCCTGAGTTGGGGTCCTCGCCAACTTCGGGCGAAGTGCCTTCGGGTGAGGCACACCCTTTGCCCGACAAGGCGATGAAACCCCAAACGACAACGCAAAACAACTTCGTCAGAAGGAAGCGATGGCAGGTCTGTGGCTCCGCCATGTGGTCACACACTCAGGTCAACGCTATAAGCTTTGAGCATGACTGGGCCAAGATCTTTTAGGCAAGACGTGAACGCTTCCACAACGGAAGAAAGCACCCGAGCTATGCACAGAAGCGGCCTCCCCAACTTGCACGTCGAACCTGGCACCCCAAACCCGGAACCCCTAAACCCTAAACCCTAAACCCTAAACCCTAAACCCTAAACCCTAAACCCTAAACCCTAAACCCTCTGTGGAAGCCTCAGGGTCAGGAAGGTCCCGAGATGCCGAGCGCAAGTCTCAAGCGGAGACCTCCGAAAGAGGGGCTTTGCGGGTTTAGGTTTAAGGTCTATTTAGCTTTGGCACTTAGAGTCTTTAAATATATCTAGAGCTTGCGGAGCAAAAACATATGTATGTATATATATATATATACATATATATATATATTTGTTTATTTATTTATTTTTGTAGGATGTGTCGGATGTATCGGGATGGGGCTTGTAGGATTTCTGGGGTTTAGGCTTTTACAAGGGTTGGTATGATTTTGTCAGAAGGGTTTGATACAGGATTTCAGGGTTCTGTAACAGGGTGCTGTCACACGTGGCTTAGAAGGTCGACTGGGCATTTTCGCTCAGGTCGTGCAAAACGAGTTTGCATAGCTTTCTCAGGGAACTTCCGAACTGGTCTTTCTGAAAACTCAGGGCTCTTAACCTTAAGTGGTTCTTCTCTGGTTTGTCGGCATGGCTTGCCGCCATGTGGCCTCCATTGTGCGCCCACTTGACTCAGCACTGGGGTCCGTCTGCTATCAATGTAAGCCTGCAGCTGGGGTGATCTGGGTGAATTTCTTCAAGAGTGCTTTTTGGATCATTGAGATTCGCTGCACGATTCATGGACCGACAGACCGAGATAGAGAGAGGAAGAGTGAGAAAGAGTAGCCGGACAACAAGAGGGAAACAAACAGATATAGACAAGTAGAAAAGACAGAGAGGCCGATCAGTCTAAACCTGAACCTTCAGATAAGTAACTAGAATTGGGTCTTGGTTGTGGTAGAACTATCATCAGCAACCCTAAGGAATACTATATGACTACACAATCGAGCTTCTATAATATCATGCAGCCAACCTACCTACCCAGTTTGCTCCACCCGGTCGGAGCCCGGAACCCTAAACCCTAAACCCTAAACCCTAAACCCTAAACCCTAAACCCTAAACCCTAAACCCCTGAACCCTGAGTCCTAAACCGTCCAAGATTGGTGGATCCTCGGAGCAGCACCATGACCCATTGTACAACAACCCTTCCCCAAAATCACAATATCAACAGTTGTAACAGAAACGATGAGATAGAGAAAGGGTTTAGGGTTTAGGGTTTAGGGTTTAGGGCCAAAATCACAATATCAATAGTTTGAACAGAAACGATGAGATAGAAAAGTGATACTGCCAATGATCACGATAACGATGGCAAAAAAAATATGACTACGAATGGACAACATCATCAGAATCACACATCTGGCACAGAAACCTCCGAGAAAGCTTTGAGCATCATGACTTAGATCAGGGCTTTGGGGTTGAGGGCTTTAAGGATTGATTGCGGGTTTTGGGGCTTTTATTGAAGCCCTTTTTGAAAGCGGTGTAGGGTTTAGGGTTTAGGGGTTGGCATTGAGGGATTCGGGATTTAGACATTACGGCTGTCAAGATCTTGGGCTTGGGGTCGCCGGTCTAACTCCAAAGCGGTTTCGGGATTAGGGTTTAGGGTTTAGGGATTAGGGTTTAGGGTTTACGGTTTAAGGTTTACGGTTTAAGGTTTAGGGTTTAAGGTTTAGGGTTTGCGGCTACCCTGTCTGTAAGCCATCTGAACACAATTCGACGCTGTGGGGTCACAACATCGCGCACTCACGGTACAGGCATGTCGGAGTTCGGATTAGGGGAACACACTTAGGGATACCTCACCCCAAACAACCGAACACAGCTCGGGATGAGTGCTCCCTACGCCCTCTGCCCCAAACCCTTCCGGAAAAAAACTCGAGATTTAGGATTTCGGGCTTTCTCGGTAAGAGTCTCAACTAGGCGCTCGGATGTTCCTCGGGGCTGAGGTGCCGAAGCCCTGTGCATCGGCGGTCTGGGGGTTTATCATTGGCACAGGGGGCTTTATGGGTTTCACATAGGGTTTAGGGTTGAGGCTAGAGGGGCTTTTATGGGTTCTACGGCGATTCCTCCGACCCGACAGCCTTACGGCTCAGGGCTCTAGGGTTGAGAAAGGCAGAATGCCAAGTTCCAGGCCGGCAGCACACAAAACGAATCGGGGCTTCTGGTGCATGGCAGAGGTACAACCTAAACCCTAAACCCTAAACCCTAAACCGATATGACCCGAGAGTCGTAAACTCCCCCCAAATTCTGAAGCCTGACTTTCGAAATCTCATGCCACACCCTGCAACCCAGAAGCTCAAGACAGCCAACCCCCAAAAAAGAGCCGAACACCATCAGGGGTTAGGGTGTAGGAACGCTAAACCCAAGAAGGCCTCAACACTAAACCGCAAGAAGCTCGAGGAAAGCCACAACTGCAGCCCCGGAACCGCCGTGACCTTTGGGACACGCTGTTGCGCCTGGAGCCGGATTAGGGTTTAGGGTTCGGGATTTAAGGGGCTGCGGCAGGAAAAATGCCAAGACGACAACATGACGTGAAGGTGCTGCCGTACAAGAGTAGCATAGCATGCTAATCCATTAGCAGGGCAAGTACAGACAAAGAGATCAAACAGCATAGAACTCGGGACATGTTCCAATGGTTGCAAGACAATGTCATCATGCAGAGGTATCGGGAGATGCAAACTGGATCACAGGGCAGTCGCTATGTTTTGCATAGGATGTTCTGTTGTTTGGTTTTGGCACCAAACCTTGGAATCCTACAGGTCGGCGAAACGAATTCAACACATTTCAGGGGATGGGCTAAACCCTAAACCCTAAACCCTAAACCAAAACCCTAAACCCTAAACCCTAAACCCTAAACCCGACCCTAAACGCTTTAGCCTAAACCCTAAACCCTAATCAAGAGCGGGAACTGTTCAAAGACCCATGTATCGGGCATTTGGGGCTTAATTACATACCTCTTAAGGTCGCTTGGCTGCTTAAACGACCTTCGGAAAAGGGCAAAACACCGGCTAAGAAGGCCAGTATTGAATAAGTTGTAGTTGGATGCACCGGTATCTGCATGGCGGTACCTTCTAGGCTTGCTTGGCTGCTAGCGAGATGTTGCAAGATTTCTACGGCTGTGCTTAGTGCTATGGGAGCTGTAGGGAAAGACTGCTGCTATCATATAACACTGAGTCGCGGGGCCATGTAGGGTCCTTATATTCAAAGATCCCTAACAGGGAAGCCTCAATTCATTAAAACTTCAGAACTACCAACATCTCTGCATTGCGGAGTAGCCCCCTGGACCCACGAAGAAACCTATCCGCAATGTCAAACAAACCCAAGAAACGCAAAAAACAAGGGCCTTAATAATTGGAACAGGGTTTTGGCGTATGTAGAATCCACAGACAGCAAGGGAACACCAGTACTAATGATAAAGCCTCTGTAACCTTGCAAGACCTTGTTTCTGTGCTCTGGCTCAACGGCGCGTGTTTGAAGCCCGCATTCAAAAAGACATGAAGCAACCCTAAACCCTAAACCCTAAACCGTAAACCGTATAGAACCCTGAGGGAACCCCGGAGCACCCTTAGCCCCAAACCCTAAATGAGCGTCTGGGTCTTCCGCGCAGGCGCATCGAATCGGTGCGGGCCGGCCATCGGAACAGGCCGACAAGCTAACTTTGGGGGGCTGGTCCAGGGCTGACGGCTTGGGAATGTCTGCGGTTTGGAATTCAGGAGTTCGGGGTTAGGGTGTGGTTTTGGGTTTAGATGATTGAGGTTTTGGATTTTGGTTTTAGTGGTTGGAGGCTCGGGGCTTGGGTTGTTGTTGGCAGAGTTTGGCCGCATGACTGGCTCAGGAAAACTGCTTCGTTCAGAGGCACTGACCCACAACCCCAAGTGGAGACATTCCCAACTTTGACCCCCGCGTTCAAAGAAAGACACAGATTATTTTCCAGAGATCCATGCCCATTCTGGGCCAACTACTTCTTTGCAACCTAAGCAAGTTTGAAGGATGTGTGTAACGGCGGCTCTGGGAATTGTAGCTCGTGGCAATCGCGTCCACACAAAAGATTAAGGCCATCGAAAGCGTCAATGTTGTTGCTGCAATCGTAAGTCCAGACTCACAGAGGCACTCTGCTCAAGTTCTTTCTGGCAACAGGCCTCAGCCTAGAATCCTAGAGCTTGGGTTTGGCGCGGGCATGCCCTGCGCTGCTGCTGAACACTCTGTAAGACGCAAATGGCCTCGAAAAAGCCGTCTGGGCAAACAAACGGGCACGGCTTCAATCAAAGTCACTGCAGGACATGATTCTGCAGATACACCTGGAGTTTCTAGTGGATCTAGTAGATTGCATGCTCTCAACTATTCATGCGCTAGGCTATGAAGAGGAGGCTTCCCACGATCAAAGGCGCGGGACCCTTTCTGTGCGTTCGAATTCTCATCACAAGAGCCGGATTTGAACCAGCCCGAAAGAGTTGATCCCTGGGGTGGTCCGCCCAGTGCCTGGGACGTTCCCAACCCTCGAAAAAGCGCTTGCAGAAGACTACAATCAAGTTCGTTCTGGGTCGGATCTTTAGCATTTGGGCTTGAAGGTGGCCCTCCCCTTTTGCAAAAGTACACTTCAACAGACACCTCTCCGCAACATCGCTTGGGCAAGTTGGACCACTTTGTGCGTGAAGAAGCGTCTTGTTAACAGGATCTTGTACCCGTTACCAAGAAGCTGCGGGCGCGCATCAATGTGTAATTGACAAAAATTTTGGCGACGGCCTGCTCGCAGCGAACTGCCGATGAACACTCCGTGAGAAGCACGTGGCCTCGAAAAGCCGTCTAAGCAAACAAAGGGGCACGGTTTCAATCAAAGTCACTGCAGGACATGATTCTGCAGACACGCCTGGAGCTGCTG